GGTGAAACTTCATCTTTTAGAATTTGCTGGTAAAGTTTTCGTGAGGGGGGCCTGTCTAGTGGTACGACACGTACAAGTTGTTCTACTGGTCAAATCTTGCATCTCATTAGAAACACTTAGAATTTGTGATCAAAGTTGTCCAGAGGGGACCATTCGAGTGGTACAACTAGTACGAGTCGTGCAACTGGCGAAATTGGATTTCATCAGCGACACTTACAATCTGTTGGCAAAGCTGTGATGGGACCCTGTAAAGTGGTAAACTCGTACGATTCGTGTAATTGGTGAAGTCGCATCTCATTAGTGAGCCGAGAAACGAGCCGTGTAACAGGCGCTACATGCGATCAAGCATTTTTTCTGGGGGGGGGGGGGGGGAAAAAGAAAAAAAAACCCGGCTTTGGGGGGGGGGGAGAAGAAGGTGGTGGCGGTGTTTTTGGCGGCGTGGGCGGCATAAAAAAAAAGAAATCTCCTGGTGGTGGTTGTTTGTTTGAGACCCACTACTCTATAGAGGGACTAAATAAAAGTGGAAAAAACAAAACCCTTGTGGGAGTTTGTGGTGAAAAAAAACCACCACCCCGATGGGTTTTCCTTTTTTTTAACCTCGCGCCGGCCCCAAAAACCCCTACCCCACTGTTTTTCCCCCCCCCCGGGAAGGGGGGGCTTTTTTTTTCCCCCCCCCCCCCCCCAGAAAAAATGCTTGATCGCATATAGCGCCTGTTACACGGCTAGTGTCTCGGCTCACTAATGAGATGCGACTTCACCAATTACACGAATCGTACGAGTTTACCACTTTACAGGGTCCCATCACAGCTTTGCCAACAGATTCTAAGTGTCGCTGATGAAATGCGATTTCACCAGTTGCACGACTCGTACTAGTTGTACCACTCGAATGGCCCCCTCTGGACAACTTTGATCACAAATTCTAAGTGTTTCTAATGAGATGCAAGATTTGGCCAGTAGAACAACTTGTACGAGTCGTACCACTAGACAGGTCCCCCTCACGAAAACTTTACCAGCAAATTCTAAAAGATGAAGTTTCACCATGTGTTACCTCACATTATCACACTGAAATATCACCCAATCGCCAATAGCACCAATCGCATGAATTCAAAGGCTAATCTCACTAGTTTACCACTCGTACAACTTGAAACACACACAACAAGACTATCACGACTTGAACTCTCAGACAGATTCGGAAAACCTTCTTTCGTTTACATCCCTGCAGACTCCCGGGCCGCCAATCAGGACGGAAAATTGCCGAAGGAAACACCGAAGGCAAGGTTTGAAAGAAGAGCGGCAAAAACTCTGAGTGCTCAGTCTGACATATTCAACCAATGCTTTTCCAGAAAGCATCGTCGGCCTTTAGATTTGCCTTCCAGAATGAAATCGAGAACGAATACGACTTTAATTTCTAGGCTCGATTTCCGCTGCTCTCTCGGTCCTCCTCGCTGAGTTTTCAAACCAAGATCGTGTGTTTCATTTATAAATTGCTTATTCACCACCAATCACTGGTGCATAGTCAGTAATAAGAATTTAAAAGTTATAGTTCGCGGGATAAAGTTAATCTCAAAGCTCCAAAGTCGTAGGCTCCGTTACTAGAAATTGCCGGGCGAGTAGGACCGAGAGAGCAGCGGAAATCGAGCCTAGAAATTAGAGTCGTACTTGTTCTCGATTTCATTCTGGAAGGCGAATCTAAAGGCCGACGATGCTTTTTGGAAAAGCATTGGTTAAATATGTCAGAGTGAGCACTCAAGAGTTTTTGCCGCTCTTCTTTCAAACCTTGCCTTCGGTGTTTCCTTCGGGAATTTTCCGTTCTGATTGGCGGCCCGGGAGTCTGCAGGGATGTAAACGAAAGAAGGTTTTCAGTCCAAGGATGTGGGCGAGAGGGAAAGAACTAAAGATAGACTTATTCCTTACATCCGAAGTTTTCCGGCGATAGCGGCACAGTACGGCGTGCTTGTTTTTTCGTTTTTCCAGTTTCGTTAAGTTTACTAATAAAAAATGATGGCACACTCGCAACTAACGCCGCAGTTTTCTTATTTCATTGATTTCATTGTTTCAATCTGCTTTGAAACCGTCTCTTAATATCGGGTCTTCAACTCGACGAGAATAATTATTTTATGTTAGACCTTTTATTTAGCCAACTATAATTTTTTGGATAATTATTTGTTATAGTCATTTTGAACCTAACAGTGGTTTTAACATAAATTTTTAGAAGCATATTCTTTCCATAATCCTAATTTTTTTCGCTGTATCAATCAAGACAAAAAGAATCCTGCAAAAAAAGGTATTTCCCGTGTGAAATACAGCGTATGTGGCAACTACCCGGGTTTTGAGCTTTTTGTTTTTATTAACTTACGTATTCAAACCACAGATATCCCTCGCGCAGTTTTTTCTTTCTAGCGTTCATGCTTATAAATAATAGATACTACTTACTGTTCTTAACAGCATGAAAACAGCGGTTTGTTAACTTGAGTTAACTAGAATTTGAATTGGTTTTGAGCAAACTTCTCTCAGTTTGGATCATGGGAATAGGAACAGAACCGTTGCCGGAAGTTTCCTCACCTTTTCTAAGCAGCAAGGTAAGCTTTGGATAATTTAGTTTTGCCAGTGATAATGCAGATAAAAATAAACAAGGGAGATTAAAAAAAGACAAAAAACACTTAGTGCTGCATCTATCTCGGTGCTTACGTAAAAGCGTTAAGATAAGCGTATCTTGGGTGTTTAACGATAAAACAGAATACGTTCGAGGCAAGTGAGTCCAATTGCATTCTGTTTATTCATTTTTCTATTTTCTTGATTTCTTAAGTTTTGTCACAGTTTATTCTTGATAAAGAAGTTTTTTTTTTTGGAACAACTGGCTATAAAAAAACTGCGATGAAATATAAATTAAAATCATTTCAAAAACTTTTTACAATTTGTAATAAACTTTGAAATCAGTACGACGTTTCACGTTCACAGATGTCTTTATTAAGTAAAAAAAAAAATAGCGTGTACATGATCTACAAATACAAGAAAAGTAAAGGCTTGGTAAAGCCGGGGGTAACTCGTGTATAAAGCGCGTCGTCTTGGGAAGGGGTGTAAATTGCAGATTTTGGTCTCACTCGGGGGTGTTTAAGACGGAAAGTCACTAATTTGCCCATTCAGGTATCGCTTGGGGATGTGCATAAAGAACTTTACAAAAAATGGCGTGATGTCTCTTATAGTATAGCCTCCTTAAGGGGTCAGTTTAAGCTTGAGCCACACCCACATTGGTCTCGACTCCCTGAGAGGTTTAACTTTTGGTGAAGCATCCCCTTCACTTTTATACGGGAGTTCCCCTGGGTGGTAAAGGCTTTCTCGACCAGGGTCCAGTTGTTCGAACACCGGTTGGCGCTAACCCGGGGTTAAATTTTATGCCGGGTTTCTGTTTCTTTTTGTCAAAAGCACTCTCTCGCATGATTTTCTCTTTTCTTTTCGAGTATCGAATCATCAAATTGTAGGCAAAGAGAATTAAACTTAAATTTGCTTTTTAAGCTCTCATATCTGAGTTCAACTCTAGGTTAGTACGATCGCGAGTTAGTGCGAAACAACAGCTTTGAACAACCCGGCCCAGGATTTTAATGAAGAATACACTGAGTTATACTCAATCGTCAGTCGAATTGCGTGATTATCCACTTGGCGTCATAAATTCCATCATTAATGTTGTTGTTCAAAATGTTTCAACAACTAAGCCAGAAATGAAAATAGTTCTTCCCTTCAAAGATCATATAGCCGCCAGTGTAGTCGGTAGGCAATTGCATGGTCTTAATTGCAATACGAGTCGCCTGCGTAGCAGCCGTCGATAGGGGTAGGGGATTAAGAGGAAAGGAAAAAAGGAGGGGGGTTGGATTTTCTCCTTCGCGTTTTTCTCCCCCTCCCCCTCCCCTTCCCCCTCCCCCTCCCCTTTTTGCGCCTGCCACGAACTCGTGCCAAAATTTCCCTCCCTTTGGAAAGTCTGCCACTTAGGATTGATAAGATTGCCCCACTTTGCAACTAATTTTTGTCAGCAAAAATTGGAACAAGACATAAAGCAGATTATTGTTAGTCAGAATGGCGTTGTTTATTTATTTGTGATTTATGCGATCTAAATCATCTACATCTTCACATTGCTGAGCACAAATATTTGGTAATCGATAAACATCTTTTAGACCGAGGTCACGGTGACAAACATTTTTCGAATGAGGGCCCGTCGATTTCCCGTCCTAAAGAAGTGCTACGGAAAATTTGTCTCGTTTACGAAATGTTGTTTATTTTTAAAGAACTAATGCCTAATCCGGGGCCTGTTTAATTGGAAGTGGAGGACCCCAGTTAGGTGACCCTTCTACCCAACAGAGGTGTTCTCCGTATAAACAGGGGGTGAAACAATTCATTAAGATCCAACATTAAGTTAAGTCAAGACCTCTGTTAGCAGCAATGATAATGTATTTCAATAATTTGATATAAATAAGAAAAGGTTTTAAATTTAGTGTCGAGTTTAACACAATGCGACAATGCTGCTGATTAAAAGCACTTCCTTTACGTCCTCCACTGGAGACGGCTCCGCCATTTTTCGTGTTCATCTGAGCCAAGCGAAGGACCGAAAGGCAGTAGCTTCACTTCTCAGATATTTTAAGACCTTGTGTAATGGCCCGGTCCAGGAAATCGAACCCATGACCTCCCGCTCTGTATTCAAGCGTTCACCTGCCTGAGCTAGTCCTGCTGCCGTACAATGTGATCCTTAGATTTTAAAGCCTTCATGCAAGTTCTCCGGGCAGCTCTGGCGGCGGGGCGAATAGGAAGTCCTCGCGCCGCCAGCGCACCTCGGAGAGCTTGCACGCAGGCTAAAGATCTTACCTCACTGACGTTTTATCGTTTATGTTGTCTCCAATGATATCTTTTTTTTTAGGGTATATGTTTCAACCAGGCTCATGCAAAGAATAATGTTGATAAAGGGAAAACAAATGTTGGAAATGCGAAAACTGCACTGAATATAGTGGTGGAAGATGAACTTGCTCGTCGTCAACGCGCTTATTCGCACTATTGCCTTCATCACGTGGACATGTTTTAGTGCTTGGCTTTTCGTTCAAATGGAGCACACTGAAAATGATTTTGTTGATCAAAAGTATCAGTTACTGCGCTCCCTTTACATTTCCATGGTATCTAAATACAACATGACCATCGACGACTTCAACAACTTTTCCAATATTGCACACGAGGCATTGTCCGCACCTGATTTACAGTGGACCTATCTTCATTCCTTTGACTTCGTTCTTCAAACGGTGACTACAATAGGTGAGGAAAGTCTACATCAAAAAAATAAATTAAAATGCAATGTTAAATAATGCATTTTAGCCAGTTTGAGTGTCAGCCTAAGGTTGATAAGTTTTAATAATACGATCACCGGCTAGACTGCCAAGAGCCATTTTTGATCATCGCCGTCGCAAACGCAGAAGAGTATCGTCCAACGGAGCGTGCCCGTATATTTTGCCACTCGATCGACTGGAAAGGGCCGGGTAACAGTTTTCGAAAGAATCATTCGCCAGTTTTTCATTCGCAACATAATTCTTTCCAGCAGCGAATATTCAGGATTCGTGATGACTATTGTGAGCCAACAATAGAAGCTTGATGCAAATCTATTCTAAACTAGTAATTTAGTAATTTTTTTTTTTTTTTACAAAAATCACCACAATTTATTATTATTGTTTGTGCTCCGTGATAAAATTTATTTCATCTCTTAATTCTTTATACCTCGACAGGAGCATTTGCAGCACAGAATTGACCTGAATAAAAAGCGATATCCTCGTAACATCGCCCCTTGAAGTGTCAGTGTTTTTAATTTGTTTTCGTGGCCTAATTTACAACCTGACTTCTTTTGGTGCCGATAAGTTCACTGAACGGCCTTAGCTAAAATTGTTAGGATTGATCTTCTTGGTGGTATTTACGCTAACAATGTTTTAAACATCTTAACTTTCCTCTATCATAGGATATGGGTATATCACACCAAAAACAGAAGGAGGCAAGATACTTTCCATCTTTGTCGCTTTGGTTGGGATTCCGATCACAATGCTGGCATTAAAAACGGTTGGCGAGCTCATTGTCTATGGTGTTAACGAAGTTGTTAAGAAGTTTGAAACGAAAGTCCTCAAGAAGTCAGAAGTACGACAACTGCAAACTAAAACTGCAGTAATCTTATTTTTATTATTGGTGATGTTAATAATGACTGCCTCCATTCTTCTTGCAAGAAGAGCAGGTTGGACCGTTACCGAAAGCGTTTACTTTTGGTTCATAACTTATACAACGATCGGTTTTGGTGACTACGTTACAAAAGACTTACCTCAAAGTATTCAGATGTTGTCTAGCAATGGCTCAAGAAGCTACCAAGGCCAAGAAAAACGCGTTTTTGAAGTAGAAGAAACTGCGCAAATTTTTGTTTCAATTTTAACCTTGGTATATAGTATACAAGGTCTATGTTTAGTCTCAAGTATATTAAACTCCATCATGGCCGCTATTGAGGAACTGAACCTCCGACCTCGTTGTCTCAGAAGGAAAACTGAGGATCGGGCCAGTGACAACAAGAACAGTTCTCCAGAGCAGTGTGACAGAGAAGTTATTCAAGCGTTGTAGCAAGAAAAGCCAAGGATTTCAGAGGGGAAACATCTCATCTGTTCTAATAAGCGAGAATAAATGACGATCGACTTTAACCACATACACGTTATAAAATTACCGCCCCATGTAAAGGTGATGTTACACGGGACGATTCGCAACGACGATTTTTAGTGCAACACATCGTTGCAATGTTGGAACAATGTTGTAACTATTCGAAACAATGCCGCAACAATGTTGCAACGTTGTGTTGCGCTAAAACTCGTTGTTGCGAATAGTCTCGAGTAACATCACCTTAAGGGAATACAAAACAGCCTTGGATTCTGAAGACTATACGCCGTGGATTCCAAATTCCAATCGTTAGTGGGATTCCGGATTCCCTAAGCTGTATTCGGGAGTCCAGCGCACAGGATTCCGGATTCCACACGACAGTCAGGAATCCGCATTCACTTTATTGGGGGAAAATTAGCAGTTGAGACACCACAGGGAACCCAGAATCACAACAAGCTACTAGAAGCCAAATTATAGGGATTTGTATGGAAATTTATCTTAAGATCGATAAAATGGTTAAAATGTACAAAAACAGCTATCAAAGTATACATACCTCATAACAAGTTGTTGTCTTTGTTGTTTTCTTACTGTTTCTTGCCCTATAAACGCCATTTTAGCATTTTAATAGCTGTTTTTGTATATTTTAACCATTTTATCGATCTTAAGATAAATTTCCATACAAATCCTTATAATTTGGCTTCCGGTAGGCTGTTGTGATTCTGGGTGCCCTGTGGCGGTACAGGCTTTGCACTTACACTTATATACCTCAGTTGATAGGTCAGTTACACATAATGCACTACAAGCGTCACAAAAGGATTAGAAAACTTCTCCCCGAGATAGATCAAGAAGAAAATAAGATACTTTTGATTGGCTAGAAAATAGAGACCTTTAGATTAGACTGTGATGGATCGAGTGCAAGAAAGAGTTTTCAAACCAAGATCGTGTGTTTCATTTATTAATTGCTTATTACTCCAATCACTGGTGCTTAGTCAGTATTGGAATTTAAAAGTTATACTTCGCGGGATAAAGTTAATCTCAAAGCTCCAAAGTCGTAGGCTCGATTACTAGAAATTGGCGGGCGAGTAGGACCGAGAGAGCAGCGGAAATCGAGCCTAGAAATTAAAGTCGTATTCGTTCTCGATTTCATTCTGGAAGGCAAATCTAAAGGCCGACGATGCTTTCTGGAAAAGCATTGGTTGAATATGTCAGAGTGAGCAATCAGAGTAATTGCCGCTCTTCTTTCAAACCTTGCCTTGGGTGTTTCCTTCGGTAATTTTCCGTCCTGATTGGCGGCCCAAGAGTCTGCAGGGATGTAAACGAAAGAAGGTTTTCCGAATCTGTCTGAGAGTTCAAGTCGTGATAGTCTTGTTGTGTGTGTTTCAAGTTGTACGAGTGGTAAACTAGTGAGATTAGCCTTTGAATTCATTCGATTGGTGCTAGTGGCGATTGGGTGATATTTCAGTGTGATAATGTGAGGTATCACATGGTGAAACTTCATCTTTTAGAATTTGCTGGTAAAGTTTTCGTGAGGGGGGCCTGTCTAGTGGTACGACACGTACAAGTTGTTCTACTGGTCAAATCTTGCATCTCATTAGAAACACTTAGAATTTGTGATCAAAGTTGTCCAGAGGGGACCATTCGAGTGGTACAACTAGTACGAGTCGTGCAACTGGCGAAATTGGATTTCATCAGCGACACTTACAATCTGTTGGCAAAGCTGTGATGGGACCCTGTAAAGTGGTAAACTCGTACGATTCGTGTAATTGGTGAAGTCGCATCTCATTAGTGAGCCGAGAAACGAGCCGTGTAACAGGCGCTACATGCGATCAAGCATTTTTTCTGGGGGGGGGGGGGGGGTTGGAATACGAAAAAGACCGCCTGATCGCAGGTGAAGGAATAATCATGGCGTATGCGTTCTTGAGCCTGATCGCAGGTTAAGAACAAGGAATACTCATGGCGTGTGTGTTCTTGTTCACGCACTAACTACTCAGTAGGCTTTTTCTGCTCTCTATTTCAAAGTGTGCTATTTCGCCAGTCATTATACAAACAATTTTCTCACCAGCACGTAGCGGTACAACCTATTAGTTAAAAGTTTTTAAAACAATGTATATATGAAACCGAACGATTTTATCCTTGACTGCGCTCAACTAATAAATGAGGACTACTGACAGTGGATATAAACTCAGATAAGCATTAACACAATACAAGTGTCCCGGAGTCTTTGAGTATCGCCTTAATCAAAATCTCTTTATACTAACGTGCTTAAAAAATAATTTGAATAACCCTTTGCGGCATTGTTCAAAAATACATTAGTTAGAGGAAAAGAATGCAATTGAAGTAGAAAAAAACTTTCCCACTCTTTGTCTCTTAGCATTGCCTTAAAGTACGCCAAATTTCAGTTTTTTTTTTTTTTTCGAGGAAAGCGCGAAAAAGACCGACTGATCGTAGGTTAAGAACAAAGAATATTCGTGGTGTATGCGTTCTAGCTAACTAGTCTTTTTCTGCTCTCAATTTCTAAGTGTCGCAAATGAGATGCTATTTCTCCAGTTGTACGACTCGTATGAGACGCGCCACTAGACACGTGAGACGGTGAGTTGTAGCCAAATAAGATACTTCACTTTATAATTATTTCACTCAAACATATCACATTCACCACTTAAACCAATCGCACAACTTAACCACTCGTACAACTTGACCGACTTTAGTCTTGGATTTTACAACTTGAACAAGTGGTAAGTATTGAACATATGTGACGGAAAGGGCAAAAAACGGCATGTAACGTTAACTGACCCCAAAATATCGATGGACAGTTATTAACACCTCTCTGTAATAGACCCAGTGGTTTATTTAGGTCTACCTAGTAAAAATTTAGCCTCCCCAATACCCAGCGAATAGTTTGTTTCTACCACCTGTCTACCCGACTGAATTTTTGCGTCCCCGGTCACTTTCTATTTTTACTTCAACAAGACCAGTGAGTTTCGTTGTTTATATTTCTTTAAGGTGATTCCCTGGTTTTGCACTGCGCATCTCTCACTGCGCATAACAAGATGGCCTCCGTAAAAAAGAGCATGTGAAGTAACATTATTAAAATGAAGTTGACCGAAGAGAAACGCTATTGCAATTTTTGCTCGCGGTTGTTCCTTGCCGAGGTGAGATTCACTTTGGTGGGAATGTGCATAACGTGAGCAGTACGCGTGTTGCTGAGTTCGACTTCCTCACGGAGAACCTCGATAGTGGATGTTTAATTTGTGCTTATTCACTTTGATTTTCATTTAAACGCTTTCTTTATCACATTGTGTCCTAAATGTGATATCTCGATGTAAATTCTGTAAAAACGGATTTTTTAATACTTTCTTCCCCCTTTCGCATGCATTCTATTTTGAAACTCGCCCCAGCCATCTCTCAAAACTCAAGGAAAATGCATTTGGTGCGCACTTTCTACAGCTCTACCGCAAAAACGAGTACGGTGACCCCCATTTTTTATTTCATGATCTTAATAAGGACAGTGCTTCCTTTTGGTGAGAAAAAATTGGCACAAATCTATGTTCAGTTTTTTGGCAATTTTACTAAATTGTACGGATTAAGCTATCACGTGTCGATTAGCGCGTGTCCAATTTTATTCTACTTTGCAGCGTAAAGTAAAAACAAAGGCATTTAAAGGCATTTTTCTGGTATGTAAGTGGATAAACAATACATTAAAGTCAAATTCTGTGCGATACCACATACATCGTTGAAAAAATCGTTCCTTTTTGTCTAGTTTTGGGCTGCGCGCGGTTTTTGTCAAAGGGTCCAAAACAGCCGTATTTGTCAGCATTGCGACGTCAAAACGAGCACGGCGACCCCCACTTTTTATTACCTTTTTATCATCTTCTTGACTTGTTACATCAGTGTACCAAGTTTTATCTACAATCTATGTTAGGTTCTTTTACTAGGGAATCACCTTAAAAGAAGCAAAAACAGTAAAACAATATTACCATTGACAAAAACAAAATACGGAGGGTACTGGTAATCAATCTCGCGTAAAAAAGTATAAATCGTGTAGTTCTTCTCACGACAGCAGTATGTGGGTGTTCGAAGTTTTCATACCGGTAAAAACGTAAGGCCTGCCACCCCTTTCCGCTTTTATGGGTAGGAAACCCAGTGGAAAATAAACCAACCCAGTGACGTTTTCGCCTAGAACCCAGTAAAGATATAGATTCCACTGCGTCGGGGTATTTATTACCAAGTGCAACACGGCTTATTACAAGTTGCGACAGGTCCTACAAAGTGCTGTAATTATTGCGAGATAACAGGAAGTCTATAGCAAATGTCCAGAAAAATAATTAAACGAGGCAAGAAAAGTGAAACTGAAGAGGGGAGAAGAAGAAGAAGCGATAAGTAAAAGTCAAGACTGCTACAGTATGTCACATCTCGAAAGTTTGCTTTAAGTGCATGCCTCATGAAGGTGCATGCTTTGGTATTAAATGCCACGATGCATTCGACTTTGGGGCACTTTCGGCTCAGAGTTACTCAGTGACCAGAAAACATCTCGACTAGCTTCAAAAGGCAATTTTCGGCAAAATTTCCAGGGACGAATAGGTTAAGGAGGACGTTTTTTTCACCCTTGTAGGTTTGTATCTAAATGATGCATAATCTTACCCCTGAATAGTAAGCACAGTTTTGCATTTTTATTGTACTATGGAAAATTGTAAAAAGCATCCAGTGTGCTAGCCGACAATTCCATGTCGAAACACAATATTCATTGCTAGGCTTATTCCGGTAAACCGATCGCTTTTTGTACTCCATCAAACAAGCGTTTACCGCAAAACACTACGTCTATATTCCAAGATGTGCATAAGTAATGCTACTATAGTTGAATTTGATCTATTAGGAAAACTTTGTAACCTACCTCAGCGTTTAAACCGCAGCTGCTGCTACTTTGTGCGCATGAACAGGAGAATTTGCTAATTAAAAATGATCTTAACAGGGAT